TTTACATTTACTTAGCACCGACGTGCCTGTAACTTTTGCGTACGTATGTACAACGCTTATTTATCATTTCAACTTCTCAAGCGGGTTCGCTAAATATGCATACGTAAATAAGTACACAGGGTTTTTTCTTCCGTTTTTTGCGTTACAAAATTATAAATAAATATTATATATATATATATATATATATATATATATCACGGGAAGTCGGAGAATTAACAAACGTTTGATAATTAGCCTTTTGATTAGTGAAAATAAACATATAATTCCAACTGGAAACTTGTTGAGCGTCATCCAAAACCACTAAATCTAAGCGCGGTAGTGCGCTAAAGTTACCGCTCGTGCAACAGGCGCAAACCTGGCGTTGCGAAAGCGCGGATAATAAGAGGCGATTTCATAAAATATATTATTATAACCCGCACCTCAAAGCTAAACTTTTTTCAGAGCCATCATACGTCTCATCTCGTTCGGACCACCATAACAAAGTAGGCGTGCCACATTGTCGCACTAACTTGTTTTTTCGATTCATTTATCCCAAGGACTAGTAACGAATGGAAGCACCTGCCCGCCTCCATCACAATGATTACCGACGATTTCACTTTCAGATCCGCCATTGAGTGTTATCTACTTTCTTAATAACCGGCGTTGTCTGCATTTTTCAATCTCTGTTTCAATTTCTGTATTTACTACCTGTTGTTTGTTTTTATGTTTTCCACCACTCCCTTCTGTAACGCCCCCTGGGCCTTAAAGTACTGAAACAAAAAAAAAAAAAAAAAAAAAAAAAAAACGGACGCGATCGCGTTTTTGCATCCGCAGCATTGCGCGTGTTCCGCGAGTGGTAACTTTAGCGCACTTCGGTGCTTCCTACGCGCTCCAAGACTTTCTAAAATTGTCTGTTTTAGTAGTTTTCGATGCGGCTCAGCAAGTTTGTAATTGGAACCATGAATTTCCCTTCGCGAATAAAAAAAAAAGTTAATTTACCCGTTTCAGTTAATTAGCCGCCTCATTATAACAATTTGCTCCATATAACTGCACCTGAACAGACCGCATTTGTTTAGCTTTGACGACATCACTTTTGTTTTGTAAATAGTCTGTAAAGCCTAACTAAACACCCTGAATAAGTACTTGGTATACGATTGCTCGCGTTCGAATTCGTATGCGAGCGTATTTTGTATAGAAGCAGTGTGACCCCGCTTTATACAACAGACCTCCTGTAGTACATTGACAGTAAACGCGAGTCTGTCAGCGCGGCACTTAATTCGAGCATCTCCTGGCGCATATAGGGAGTATTCACTGGGCGCCATATTTGTGGGTGCTGTCTATAGAGCGCATGCTCCGAACGAACCCCCCTTAATAGGCTGCTAAGACCGCCCATTTTGACGGTGTGGAAACACGTTGCAAAAGAACCCTGGAAGCTATACCTTCAGCTCGCGCTCAGCAGTCGCGCACACAGCTATGGCCGCATGTGTAATACTTCCTATATGCTCACAAAGCCCATCGGTCCCGTACCCCAATGAGAACATCTGAACTTGGATGCCTAACCAGGCGGTCCAGGCGAGCATCGCGCGTTCCACATGGTGGCATTAAAGTGTTTGGGGTTTATATACACCGCATTACGGTTTATCACCGCGGAAGCATCACTGTACATAGTCGGCAAAGTATGTCAGGGCCGCTAGATTTCTTTCGAGCCGCAGCGGTCAAGCCTCGGGCTAAGTATTGGGGTGTTACGATGGTGTCACCGCAGTTTACGACAAACAGAAACAATTAAAGGGGCGATGCAACAATTTTTGTACTTTGCGCAAATACCGCTTAGAACAGATCCCTGTAGGGTGCCTCAATGTCCTTCTGTTTAGGGTGATGCCACCCTTTGTAGTACCACATGCCGACAGCACGCGCTCACGGGAAAAATACAAAGAAATCGACGAAAACAAAATGTCGCCATAGCTCAGTCAGCGCCACAAGCGCGTGCAGGGACACGCCCTTTCACGCGCTTCTGAACAAAATATAAAAATAAACGTGTGTGACAAAATGGCGAGATGCCACCACCCTAAGCAAAGCGCACATGAAGGCACCCTAGATCCCTGACGTTAATGACCTATGAAACACGCGTTCGTTTTTCACTTCACGCAATAGAAGTCCCAGAAAAAAAATTAAAGAAAAACAAGCAGCGTTCACCCCCTCAACTCGCAGCCAGAACAAGCGGCCACGCGATCTGGAGCCGATTATATGCCGCTAATGTTGATCATAGCCACGCGCCGGGGTTGGCAAAGCACAGGACACGCGCTGAGTTCCAGACATTGTTATGGCTCGGCTATTGTCGTCGTTGCAGCGATTGGACGCGGGCGACTACCCGAATGCTTCTCGAGCTAGTAATTATCACGAGCCCAAGTCGAGTGCCCACGCAGGGCTCGGGTCCAATCTATGAACCGCATTCAAATATCGTCACTTGGGTGTTCTGCGATCCCCACGTTACGTCATCAAATTTTGCAAAGGAGAGATTGAACGAAAATAACTGCTGTTGTCCTTGAAATTTCACCGCAACAAAGTTTCTTGGCCAGTGGCGTTGCGTGTGAGTATCCTTGAGTCCCACTAGTGCCAGTAAGCTCGTGTATAGTGAAAAACATTCCAACTGAATGTCGTTATACAGCTCCTTTAAAGGAGCGGTGCAACGATATTCAATTGGAATGTTTTTCATTTTACACGAGCTTAGTGGCACTAGTAAGACTCAAGGATACTCGCACGCAACGCCACTGCCCAAGAAACGCCTTGGTTGCGGTGTAATTTCAAGGACAAAAGCGATCATTTTCATTCAAGCTCTCCTTGGCAAAATTTGATGACGTAACGTGGGGATCGCAGTAGACCCATATGACGATATTTGAATGCGTTTCAGAGATTGGACCCGAGCATTGCGTGGACACTCGATTTAGGCTCGTGATAATTACTAGCTCGAGAAGCATTCGGGTAGTCGCCCGTGTCCAATCGCTGCAAAGACGACAATAGCCGAGCCATAACTGTCTAGAACTCAGCGCGTGTCCTGTGCTTTGCCAACCCCGGCGCGTGGCTATGATCAACATTGGCGGCATATAATCGGCTCCAGATCACGTGGCCGCTTGTTCTGGCTGCGAGTTGAGGGAGTGAACACTGCTCGTTTTTCTATAATTTTTTCCGGGACTTCTATTGCGTGGCATGAAAGACGAACGCGTGTTTCATAGGTCATTAGCGTCAGGGATCCGTTCTAAGCGGTATTTGCGCAATGTACAAGAATTGTTGCATCGCCCCTTTAAGGTGGCGATGCAAGTGAGGTGGTTAATGACTTAGGAAATTGGAAACAGCGCGCAAAAAGACGAAGACAACGAGAGAAGAGCACAGGACAAGCGCTGACTATCAACTGAAGTTTTATTAAAAACGGCCCAAACAAGAAAACACCACACAGCCAACCAACGCCGAAACAACCAATGGCGTGTCGCTTACCATGCATATATAAATTCGGTCTCTTTTTTTGTGCAGATAAACCGAAGGCTGGCTGACACAGTGCCCCGCGCCAACTTTTTTGATAGCATGCGCCTCCAGCACCTCTCTTTGCACTTTTGTGCGCCCCCTGCCAAGGATTAAGGTTGGCACTACAACCCGTGAACCAAGAAGGAAATCCTGCCATACGATTCCGCCCACTCAAAACATGTGAAACGAAATATTGCCACGTCATGCATCCAAGTTTCACTGTACAGGTCCTGTCACCATGCCATGCTTGACAGCTATGAAGCAAAGGTCAAGCGGCTTTTAGGAGCAGGATTTCCTCTTTCCGTTTTGCTTGGTGTCTCTCAGACACTCTTGAAAAAAGTCAAGAGCGATTCTCAGGAACCAAAAGTAAAGCCTAAACAAAGACCTCAGGTTGTCCCATATATACACAAGGTTTCTGTTTAATGTGCCAATGGTTTTTTCAGCGCCTCAAAAATTAGCACAACTTTGCCCGCGCGTAAACCAGGCAAGCATTAACAAGACGTCATGTACGGTTAAGCATGTCAAAAAGTTCGTGGATTGCGTTGTGGGTGTCATCTACAAAATTCCATTGTCATGCGGACGGGTTTATATAGGACAATCGGGACGCTGCGTCAACGAGAGAATGCGTGAGCATGCGAATTCCCTGCGGTCAATGACAGGAGGTCGCTTATACGTACATTGCAGAGACTACCAGTGTCACCCCGTCTTCCATAATACCCTAATCATTGGCAAGGGGCGCACAAAAGTGCAAAGAGAGGTGCTGGAGGCGCATGCTATCGCAAAAGCTGGCGCGAAGCACTGTGATCAGCCAGCCTTCGGTTTATCTGCACAAAAAAGAGATCGAATTTATAGATGCATGGTAAGCGACACGCCATTGGTTGTTTCGGCGTTGGTTGGCTGTGTGGTGTTTTCTTGTTTCTAATAAAACTTCAGCTGATAGTCAGCGCTTGTCCTGTGCTCTTCTCTCGTTGTCTTCGTCTTTTTGCGCGCTGTTTCCAATTTCCTAAAAACAGAAACAAATGACAGCGGCATGCCTCAAACCAGAGCCTTTAGCGATTTGACAGACTTTGCAGAACAAAGGATGCTATGCTCAAACACGAGCCTCACGCACGCGAGGGTATCTCTAGCAGACTGCCAGACTTGCAATCATTCGTGCATACTTCAGAAGCACCTAGCGACTAAACGCCCGCCAAAGCTATCATCGCGAGCATGCTGCATGTGTTGCAGGCTTGTCTCTGTCGTTTGTTTCTGTTTGTCGCTATAGTGGGACTCGGGCATAATATATTATACAAAAGACAGCCTGCAAACAGAACTCATCGCAATATCCGTGGTTTAAATGCCGCGTGCTCATGTTTCCCTTTCTACTCATTGCCATGCCGCATTTTAAACACAGCTGTCGCGGTGACTCGCGCTCAAATCTGTTTGCAGGCTCTCCTTTGTATGATCCGGAAGCAGTGTGACCCCGGCTTTCGGGTACATTTCGTTTGTGGCATTCAGACACTCACCATGCCGCCGCGAAGACCGTAGCCGCAGCCACCATCCACAGCATCGCGACGCAAGTCCATGCGACGCAGACGGAGCTCGCCCCACTCTTGGGCTTGGCGGTGGTGCTCGGCGTGGAATCCTGCTTACCGTAGCACAGCTGGTTCGTCCGATCCTTGATCTTCTGACAGTGGAAGTCCTCCGTGCCGTCACAGTAACACGACCTGAGCGTGTCGGCGCGCGGCTGGCGGTTCAGGATGGCCAGACTGTTGTTGCACCTGGACGTACACCGTTTGCCGCGGAAAGCACCGTGACAGTAGCGGTAGTAGTAGGCAAGCGCCGTGCCGCACTGGGGCTCCGCCTCGCACATCCAGAAGGCGACGCTGCACGGGATGCGGGCACCGGGAGCTGTCAGTTTCTCCACGGACTCGCGGCACACCTCGATGCGGACCTTGCTCCGCCGGCAGACCTCGGAGTCGCCGCAGTTGCAGTCGCTCAGTCCCCGGCCTTCGTCCGTGGACGTCAGCGCGGCTAGGGCACGCTGGCACAGCGCGGGACACTGGGCCACTCCGGCCTGGACCACACCGGCGCACTGAGACAGGTAGGCGTGCAGCGCGGAGCCGCATCCTTTCCGTTGAGCGCACCTGATTTGGACTTCTTCGCAGGTGCGGGGTTCCGCGAAATCGCTAGGGGACACGAGCGTCAGCCACGTGACGGCGAGCCAGAGGAAGCAACAGGGGGATGCAGCGGTCATGGCGGCATGTCTGGTTGTCACCCCGGTTTGGGCGCCACGGAAGGAGACCATGGACGTGAAACTGCTCCCCGATGCTGTCGCGTTCGTTGCTCGGCGCGCTTTGGGAGGCGTGTGGCTGACTCGCTTCCTGCTCGGAAGGCAAGGGGGGAGGGTACGGTAGATGGAGAGGAGGACCGCTCGACTTGTTTCTTGGGGGAGAGGAGGAGCCCCGGCGGCTCGCGCGCGCCGCCCGTCCGCGTGGACTTCTCCTGTGTTTTGTGGTGCCTCTGCAAGACGCACAGTCCGAACAGTCCACGACGGTTGAAGCTGGCAGGGCGGTGATTGACGACTTGTGCCACCGCCTTTGGCTTCTTTCGGCTTGGGTTTAGGCTCCCCTTGGCCCGCTTTTTTTAGGGCGGCTCCACTTCGGAGAGTGTTGTGTGCCGCCGGCGGAAGGTGGTGTTGCCGCTTGTGATAAGCTACCTGCCCGGGACTATGAGATCCCCCGACGGGGAGTTTTCTTCATTTCTTTATTTATTTTTGAGTCTGGTTTCTTTTTCCCGCGTGCGCGGGGGCCGCCGTAAGGGGAGATGAGCCGCAGGGTCTATCGGGGAGGGCACTCCCCCGACCTTGCAGGGTCGGTCGCCGACCTCACTTGCTCAGCGAGTGTCTACATCGTAGACAGTGCGATGTTGTGGAAGCAGTAATTTCCTTACTGCCACGCAATCGCGACAATACGAGATTCAAGTTCGTGCCTTTCCTTTTCATATAACCTAATTTAAATCCTGCACTTAAAAAGAAGAAAAAAAAATAAATATATATTTGTGAGTTTGGTGTCCTGCAGGAAACTGAGGCGAAAAGTAGAAAGACCTTAGCAGATAATGGAGCTCAGAATACAAAAGAAAAAAAAAATAATAATAATGCGATGTGCGCTGATACAATGAACAAGTGGGAACGGATCATGCCCAAAAAAATCCCCGCCCACCTTCTCTTTTTTTTTTTTTTTTGTTTTGTCTACTCCTGTTTGTCATTCGTTTAGAATCTTTCGATGCTTCTATCGTTACCGCCGTTGTCCTTCTTTCTGCTCCGCGGGAAAGTGAACTCAGCAATCGTTTTTAAAGTGTTGTGTTGCCCCGATGCCCTATACGTAACAGCTACCTTTAGGACAGTTTATACTCTTAGTATAGCGTAGTTGCACGGTTACTGGTTGCCGGTATGGCATCTATCGCGACTGACTGTCGCGGAACAAAGCTATGGTATCGACCGGAGCAAACTAAAACTTAACAAACACACGTCTCATAAAATGCATCGTATCCTCTAAAAAAAAAAAAAAAAAAAAAAAAGGCTCCCGTGAACTAAACATTATGTGAGAGAGGCGACGTTGGTCAACGAATAACTCGAATAGAATTTCCAGGAATACGATGATGTTTCAATTTGAACGTGACCTTGTTTAGAAGATATGTCTGCGTGGAATGCAGATTTTGCACTCGTGACTCGAAAATTGTAATCGATCACAATTACAATTCTTCTCGATTAAAAAAAAGGTTATTCAGGTAGAATACTTAACTACTTAAAAAGAAAAGTAATTGGTCGTTACTTTGAAGAAAAAAAAAAGCAACAGTTACTTTACCGATTACTCCGGTATTTCAAAATGACATTGTTTTCTGCCGGTTTGGAAACGGACCTCTTCTATTGGGTTTAAAAAAAAAACCGAATTATCAAGTGCTTATCTTCTTCACCCGCGAACTTCGGTAAACCGTCCTCCCGTCGGTGACCTGGTTCAAGGATTTCTGGGAAACAAACTTGTAAAAACAAAAGCCGCCGTCATCAGAAAGGAAAGGGGAACGTAGTAGTTGCCACAAGTAATTTCAATACTTCAAAAAGTAATTTTTATTTATTTGTTTAAAGAATACCGCGGCTAACATCTGTGAGCCATAGCAGGGGTGGTTACATACTGCCTAAGTAATTGATTACGAGCGATTGTATTTCTCGTAGTGAGTACCACACATATTCTGGTGTGGATGTAGACTTTGTATTGAAACCTGTCCGACTTTTGCTCGCATTACCATGTTATATAGTTACCGTGAGATAAATAAGTACCAAACACAACGCGAATGCATGAAAAGAATACTTCACCAGCTGGACCCCAGACCATTCAATGAAAAAAAAAAAATCCTAGGCCCATAGAAGAACAAGCGGCATCAACGCATCGTCTTAAAAGCTCTGGAAAAGTATGTCGAAGGCACCGGACTGATCGATCAACCTTGAGTGTGTGCGTGTGTGTGTTGTGTTTATGTGCGCGTGGCTTACTCTTGTTCGAATCGTCTTTATTCCCCTCTACCCTTCCCCACGGAGTAGCCAGCCAGAGAAAGTACAAACTCCGGCTTACCTCTCCATGCTTCAATAAATATCTATCTATCTATCTATGAGCGGGCATGACGTTTTCTGAGCTTATTAGGATCACCCATGATACTACGGAGCTAGTCGATGAGAAGGCATGATAACGAATCGCAAAGAAGCGTCGAAACCCGCGTTTCATAAAGTGTTGGTGGCGATGGTAGTTCTTCGTTATCGAAAGCGCGGACGCGCTTGCAGCAGAAGCCGTACGTGAGGATGTTTATGATTATTTAAAATGTTAAAAGCTGCGAAACAACAAGGGCAAAGAAGAAAACACACACGACACTGAAAGGCGCTAACTTGCAACTGGTATTTCATCCCAGTTTGACTATAGGATAACCTATATCAGTTGCAAGTCGGCGCCTGTCCGGGTCGTGTGCGCTTTCTTTTTCGTCTTTGTTGTTTCGCGCTTTTAACCTTTTAAGTAAAATTAAGAAAAAATATGAGCATGTTTTTAACGATGCGGCTATGACTCGCGAACAGAAGCGTTTAGAAGCGTTTGGCGGAGGCATTTGGCCAGCAGCGTGTACGAACAGGGACGACATTGACATATGTGGCATTCAGGGGCAGCAGCACCATGGCTAAAATAGTGCACCTCCTGAGACATGAAAAAAAAAAAAATAGAATGACGGGACGCGAAATCTCAAAAGACTGCAGCTTTCACTTTGCAGCGCGTTTCCTTCGGTATAGTATCCGTATTCACCTAAAAAAACCGTAATAAAAAAAAAAAAAGTACGGCCCTTAACGGGACGCTGCTATAGTGGGTTACAAATGAAGAAGGTAGCGGCAAGTGCCCCTCAAAGGGATTCCTATATCCCTCCGCCACCTCTGCATCCAATATCGTCCCATCGTTTCCGTGACGTCGCTGCCAAGGCGGGAGGAGGGTCTTGCCTTCCTGTAGGTATTTGCCTTATCTTTCGACTTTGATCTAGCGTTGTGAAAGCCACGAGCAGGAGATTACAGTTTTCCCCCGCCGATGGAAACAAATACAACTTTCGGGGGTTAGGTTCCCCCTCCGATGGATACATAGGCTACTTTCAGTGGCTCGGGGCTCGGTTCCCTCTCCGATTAATACAAAGGTCGCTTTTTTTTTTTTAAATGGGGGTCGGAGACAAGTTGGCATCACCTTGTAGACAATATCTAACAATTGAAGCGGAACAAGAAGCGTTTCCAGTGAACTCTTCTTTCGACTGCGGAGGGATTTGAAACGGGCGCATCACGTCTGTGGGAGGAGCTTCTCCTACCTTAACTTCTAACGGACTATAATTTCTCTCTTTCTGCGTTGAATCAAAACATACATACGTAGATGCATCTTAGATTAGATTTATGTTACTCTATCAAAACGTATAGCCTATACTCGTTTCAGAATCTAACGCTACCGCTTCTTCCTTTGCCAATCAAATCTTCTAGGGAACTACTTCGCGCAGCGCATGAACATTGCGGAAAACGTCCTTATTTAGTTGACATGAAAACGGGTATATATGTCAGTGGATGATAAATTCGGGCACCTCAAAACACCATTCGCGGTCGCTGGGCGACCGTATTCCCGTGTCGTTTCGATTTTCTATCGGTCGTCTTCACTCCGCAACAAAGAGGAAAGGAACTTGGAAGTATGAGCTTGTTTCACCTATAGTTGCCGACGTCTTGAGCAGCGCGTTGCATCGGCACATGAAGAACGCTAAGGAAGAAATCACGCCGCAAGAAGACGGCGCGTTTATGCTCGTCGAGGTTTTTATTTGAACTTGACCTATAAGAGTCCAGCTACCCACAATTGGCGGCTCGAAATTCGTTTCCTTTCCGGCCGAAAACAGCAGGTCGAAAATTTGTCGGTTTCAGTCGTGCTCATTCTCTTTTCTATGGTATACAACGTTGAAGTTCTATTTATAGGGTGACCCAAGTCACCAGGCTCGATATAAAATGGACCGTAAAAATCGAAGCCTGCACGTAGCAATCTAAAATTTTCGTCAAAGGTGTATTTCACAGGTCGGTTTTTTCTTGTAAAATTACAAAGCGTAGTTCCCTTTCGGTAAAAAATAGGGCCAAGAAACTTGTCAGGGTCTACGCGGGCGGCGACGCAGACGACCAAGTCGAGTAGCGGGGTGTGTTGGCGTTCGTATTGATAGATGGCGTCGGAAGCATCGTCCGAATCTGTAGCCGACCAGCGAAAGAAAGCAGACGATACGCAGACGAAATCCGTTGGCAGCAAAGTCGCCATCGTTATGCAGGCGCACTTTTTTTAAACTTTAAATATTGCTTTTATTGTCCGCATTTATTTTTTGAACTAAAGGTAAATATCAAAAAAGATTATGTTCATTTTAATAAACCACGGGTTTATTAAAATCAGGGTTGGGCAGTATCGCGATACAAATGTATCGCGATAGTATTTCAGAAATACATTTCGTATCTGTATTTCTGTATCGCGATACATTTTTTTCACCAGTATCTGTATTCCTGTATCGGAATACATTTTGAATGCTCCTTTGTATTGCAATACAATCAGGATGAAATGTATTTCGTTACATTTCTTCAGAAATACCCTCCCCCCAAAAAAAAATCGAACGCATTTTTTTTTTTGTTACTTCTGAGGGCACCAGGGCCAAGGAGGTGCTGGGGAATTGTTACCATACTGACCAAGGTTCCTTCCGATTCTACAAACTATTTTCCTATGCGTCCTCTTCTCCCTTCTGAGAAGTGTCGCGTAGTCGGGGACTCGAACTATACTTC